TTCGGATGCGGTGGTTGTGCCGGTGGATGTGTCGTGTGCTCTGGGTGACGGCAGCCTGAGCTATCGCGTGCGTGTGTGTGTGGGCGTGGACGAAGTGTTCTGCTGCCGGTGCTGAGGCTCAGTGTGAGAATTATACTTTCAGTGGCTTTGGTGTGCGCATGCATAGCACGAATGGTGAGCTGGGTGCTGTGTGCTATGTGGCCAATGCGGTGCACACATGTAGCAACTGTGCTGCCAGCTGTGCAACGGAAGAGGAAGGGGCCACCGTTGCCTTCACGACGAATGTGACGACGCATAAATACGCCGGCCCTTATGAATTGTGGTGGCGTCAATTTTCCCCCCGATGGAACCATTCATCCGCCTGCACGGAGCAGCGATGCTGACCGGACGGGCATCTGTCAGTTGCTGCCACCCCGTGAAGGGAAGGATGACACAAAATCTGGTGGGACAACTGCGCCGCAAGTGAATGCTGAGCCGTCACGTCAACACGAGGATTGGCAACGGTCTGCGGCGGCTGACGGACCCAACACTGTCGATCGGAGTCCCGCATCCAACACGGCGACCAACACGTCCGAGACGAGGCCTGAGTTTGTCTTTGTTCGGAACATAAAGGTGGTTCCGACACCACCCAAGAGGAAGCCTCGCATTGCCATGAGTCGGAACATAGAAATGGATCCGAATGCATTCGTGACGAAGACTGCGCTCGCCACCGCGTTGAGGCAGTGGGCTCGAGGGATGCCCGTAAGACTGAGGCCGTTGACGGCAGCGGCGAGCACGTTCCTGGGAAAATTGCGGGAGGAATGAATGGTCAGAACGTCCCCGGAAGACCAAAACGGCATCAAGAAATGTGTCCTTGCGCGATCTGGAGCGGCGTGAGTCCAGACGGCCGCCTCGCCCTGTTTGACGACGTGAAGTTGATACCACTCGATTCAACTGGCGGCCGCACTGCGCGTGTGTGCGTGTCTCTGGCGTTGCTGCTGCTGCTGGAACTGTGTGGAGTTGTGGTAGTCTTTCGAGCGAAAGAGGGTGGAATTGTGACTCCCCACGGGGGATATTTGCCGCATACTTTGCGGGTTTTATGTCACTGTTTTTTCTCCTCTTTTTTAATGATTTACGGATCGCTTTTTAAGCCTTTTTTTTCTTCTTTGTAATGCTCTTTTTGATGCTTTCCCACCGGAGTAATAAGTGCCCTTTTTTCTTCTCATTATTTAATGTTCGGTTGATGTGCACTGGAATGGGCGACGTGTTTTCTCTCTTGTGTGTTTGTTTTGGTTGTTGCCCACACGCGGTGCCGGCTCCGCTGCTGTGCTTCCCACGGACTGCAGGAACGGGGATTGGAAGAAGAGGCCGGATGCCGCGTGAAATGTGAGGGATGTTGTGTGGGCTGGTGGAGTAATAAGATTTTTTTCTTTTTTTTATTACATTTTTTACTTGTGCAGGTAATATTTATGCGCACGTGATCGTCTTGTGCTGCATGGCACACGAAATGGAAGTCCTACTGATTCATTTTAGTTTCTTTTTCTTTTTTAAAAAATCCCTGCGGACTTCTTTTTGTCCGTGCCGTGTCCACTGTCACTGTGTGCCTCCGTGTGTCGTTGGGTGTCCCTCTGCTGGCTGTGTTTCTGAACTGCCCTCATATCTTTTTCTTCTTTTCTGCTAGAGGCGCCGATGGTTTGCGACGACGGTTGTTTGTGCTACCCATTGCGATGGCACGAGGGTGACTGGGTGCCGGCCTCCTGAGTGCCCTCGGAGGGGAGAAGATGGTGTGCGCCGTGCCTCACTGTGAGTGTGGGACGCCACTAGCCGTGCAGAGGGAAGTAAATGGCTGTGCGGTATGTAATTGGATGCACCCCGTCGCTCTCGTTGCCGCCATGTGTGTGCTGAGCGCATGGCAGTATCTTGCGGTGCGAAGTGGATGGCATTGCTTCCGCGTGTGCCCTCGTTCATGTGCTGTGCGGCGGGCATCTCTTCCCCATGACACCGCCCTTTTGTGTGGGACAGTGGAGGGAAGTGGAGATGTGTGAGGGAGTGAGGGTGGCCGTTGTTTCCCCACATTTGCTTCTTCCACACACGTAGCGCCTCTCGGCAGCCTCTCGCAGCACCCAGGCCGTGGATTGAGAGAATGTGAGGGTCTGCTCCAAGTACACGGAGGACGACAAGATGCAGTTCATGACGGCCAACCTGATCGGCCTGTGGTTGCAGCGCATGGAGCACGTGCGCGAGTACACGTTGGGTGTTGCGTTCATGATTGGGGAGGAGAAGCGGCACGACACTGTGGCGCTGTGGGTGTTGCGCGGCCGGGGCATGCCGACGATTGCGAGGGACGTGGAGGACACGGAGCTGTTTGACTGAGGGAGGAGGTGTCGTACGTTGCGGCGCAGTGGGAGCGCATGACGGACTGCGTGTGCTGGAGGGGCGCGTGTTGAAGTGGGCGTGGCGTGCCTGTGAGGGCCTGAGGAGAGGGAATAACAGTTGTAGTGACACTGTGGGGGTGTGAGGAACAGGGCACTGGCGAGGAGCACCTCTTTTTTTGATTGTTGTTGAACCGCGCTCACCTAATTGCTGTGGTGGTGCGTGACTCTCATTGCTGGATGGGACGGTGCGTGGCTTTGTGAATTGTCTCCTTTTGCTTTCACTCTGCGTTGACGGGGAGTTAGTTTGTGCTGAAGGCTACACGCAAGTGACGGGAGTGATGGCGATGATGTGACTGGCCGTGTGCTGCTGGTGTGTGCCCTCTGCGTGCTGTGGTGCGGTGCCGGTGGTGGTGACGCGTGGCCTGTGTGCTACTGTGCTGATGGTGGAATGGACGACGCGGGGCTTGCGAGGGGAATGGATGGCGAAGTGGTGTTTGCGAGGAGGGACTGCGTGTCGAGTGCCGCCTTACGGGGAGTAGCTGCGGCGGTACCGGCCGGTGAGGACGGCGGCATTGGTGCAAGCGGAACGCTTAACAGTGATGCAGGACAACCACCGGTCGGTGATGCAGGGAGCGGGACTGAAGCTCAGAGGCAGTGGGGCTGCACCAATGGCTTCATCTTCTTCTGCTGCCGATACAGACGCTGCCAGCAGTACTCCTGTCTCGGGTGCTGGTGGTGGTGTTGGCCCAAGCAGCAGCCCGCAGTTGTCTCCGGCGTCCAAGACGATCCTCCCGCTGGTGGAAGTGTGGCAGGAGAAAGGGAGGAGGCAGGCTCAGCATGCTGCGGCGAAGAGCCGTCAATGTCGAGTGTGTGCTCCCAACCGCCACAATTTTCTGCGGGGTCGGCAACTCTCACCGTGGAAGAGAGGGATGGAAAGAAAGGCAGCGCGTCAGTTACAAATATTCAGAGCGAGTGGGCACAACAGGAACGAGAAGGGCCACACGTGCTCAGGACGGGGGAGAGCGCACGGAGATCTCCAGCACCAGCACCAGCAGAAGGACAAACAGCACATGCGACGCAGCCGTCCGAGGACTCAGCAGAGCATGCGGCTGCACCCAGCTCGGGTCTCACACGGGGCGCATCGAACGGCGACAGTCAAGAGCAAACACCGCAGCTTCAAACAGCG